TTACATACATAGGTACTTTTATTTTTTACTTTTTCGTAGCCGAGTTGGTCGAGTAATGTGCATGCCGGTTTTCAAGGTGTCGCCATTTTTGAAGTCCTTGGTTCGATTCCTGCCCTGCTATTCTGTAAAAATCCAAACCCGAATTCGAATTCACTTCAAAAAGCGGTATCCGCCCAATCTTCAGTTGTCTCAGGTAATAACGTTTCGTGGCATAAGTGAAGTTGAGTTTCGAAATAACATAGAAATATAATATCTGAGACACGTCATCTATCAATTTTGTTTCGTATTTTTATACAATAAATGGAATCAATAGAATTTCTTTACTAAATGACTTGAATTTGGACACATGAGTGAATTAAAATTCGGGTTTGCATTTTTGAAGACAATTGCCCGCTGGTCGAGTCAATGTAGAAAATGACCTTTTCCATGTTGTTTTGCATCTGGGTTTTGTGGTACATACGTTGTCTCAGATATAGGTATAATCGAGGGCTTGAATATCTTGAACTTTGAGCAATGTATGTAGTGTTGTCAAATTTTTATTTATTTTATTTTATAACGGAACATATGCTGTTCTGTTTGATAAAATAATAAATAATAAGTTGAGAACCTTAAGTTCGTTTTGTTTTAATTGTTGTAACTTCTATTCACAATACAGCAAACGACATTACCATAATTATGTTTCAGGACGGAAACTGGTTTAATTAGATTTCAGTATTACAACCAAATTGTTTTACTAACTTAATGTTGATGTTACGAGAATTGAGGGTAGTTGTGAATGATATTAATTATGCATTCCAGTATTATAAATTTAATTATAGTGTGTACCTTTATAAATATTTTTATGATTTACTTAAAATATATTTGAGAAGTACGCGGGACTTTTCAATGAACAATGTTATATTTTTAATGAGAATTGATTCAAAATCCACCAGCACAAGGTGCCCGGAGATGGGTCCCATTTCTAGATAATTTTTTCTTCATTAATCTTACGATCGGCCGTTACCAGTTGCTTAACAACCAACCATATAGCAGACCGAACGCACTAATCACTGTGCCATAGAGTTTGTCCCTGGAACTCTGATATGAGACTCGAACCCACGACCCTTCGCAATCCGGGCGACTGCTTTAACCACTGAGCTACCCAGGACCTAACAGGAGTTTTTAAACTCACACGATTTGTATCAAAGTCAAAGTCAAAATAATCTTTATTCAAAAGACTTCTTAAAAGTACTTTTGAATCGTCCAACATTTTTTTCCTACCATTCGTTCAGGACGTCTTTTGGCTGATAAGAAGAACGAAACTCACCAGCTCTAATAATCTAAAACCACATAAAGTTATTAACTTTTTGCAGTCTAGTGACAGGCACCGTTAATTTACTTTAATTTTATACATTATTTTTATTATTACATACACCTCATGTCCTTTCCACTGAACGACATTACTATCCAAGGATTGTTCGTGTAGCGGTTGAATTCAAAAACATAACAATTTCAACCGGGAAAGTGGATATAAACTCTCACGAACGTGGAATCCGGTTATAAAAATGTTTAAGTGTCGCGATCGCAAACAACCACGAACAATATTTTCGGATACCGTGAGTGCAGTGTGACGCCACCTTTACGTACAATAAAATCAAGTGGAGGGTACATCTGAAAATCTGTTAAAAACATTGGGTATGTTCCGATATACACTGCGACCACTGAACAGTATGACGTCAATTTAGTATACTGGAAGCCCGTTCCTTTATAGCTAGTTACTCTGGTGACTTTTTAAAACGAATCGCAGTCCAGTATACTGTTAATCCTATTTTTTGACGCCATTTTCAAATTTGTTAATGCAAGGTGAATATAAATATAAAGATTCCCTCTTTTCAAAAGAAAATATAAAAAAAATTGTATAAAAAAATTATATATCAATTAAATCCATCGTATAAATAAACGTAAGTATTTTTTTTGTTTATTTAGAAACTTATCATTTTCTGATTCTGTTTCGACTGATCACGTGCTCAAAAGCACTGCGAGCACCTTACCTCTAAATCTCCAGTGCTCACAGTACAAATATGGCATCAATTTATGACGTCATAAATTTCCCTAGAGTACTGTAGCAGTGTACTGGCAGTCCATAACGGAACGGATTTTTCAGCAGTAAGACCACTGCGCAGTGCTCGCAGTGTATATCGGAACATACCCTAAATCAGAAGTCAACACCCGCCAATTGTCCAGTCTCCGAAACGTCGAGGTAAATAAATAGTTTTCAAAATAATGCACGAACAAGACCCACTTACATAATAATTATAACCTAACAGGAGTACCTGTCGATAAAACGCAAAGGTCCGAAAATCCCGAATCGTTTGCCGATCATAATTTTCCTCATGGAGACATTAATACTTTGACAATTCGGGGAAAAATCAACGGCGCAATTGTTCTTCGTGATGTCTTGGAAATATAACTTATTATCGGGCTAGAAGGCTCGGCAGTTGGTACTCGACGACACCCTCTATTTTGTTACGCCCTGTTACTAACTCGACCTTTTACTTGTTGCTCGGCTACAGCTTTAGATCTTACTTATTATTTCTCTTATTATAATATTTTCTTTTCCGTTGACATTCAATGTTAAATAGAATTTAAATTTTTGTGTTAGTTTATAAAACTCTAAATTATCCAATCAATATAAAAAGGTTTTAAACTTATTTAAAGCACTACTAGTCACTCTTTTTAGTAGTAATGTTGGCAAACTCCAATAATAAAAGATCTTGCTTCTAAATACAAGTCAAAATACAAAATTCATTTTTTAAAAAGGCAATGCCAACACAAAATAGATTTATTTTTGCATATTATATTTTCGTTATAAGTACTAAACATATATTGAAGAAAACTGCTTAAGGAATTCGCCAGGTCCAGATGCCCCAAAAGTAATGCAAGCCTTTCTTTCTTTTCAAGCATCCAAATCCAAGTGACTACTCTCGCAGCCCGGATTGCGAAAGAGACTAGCAATTTTTTTCCTTCAAGATAAACAATCAATATAATAAAAAATAATATAAGACAACATCATAAACATTACTTTGATTCCAAGATGAGGAGCTAAAGCCCGCGTATGGAGTATACAAAGTTCATTTTTTACATTGACCAGACCGAGAATTGAATCCGTCATACAAGATAATATAGTATTGTGACTCGAAAAATTGATGAAATCAAATACCAGCTACAAACAAATCATATCCTGTGATAACAACGACCTTCGTAGCAGAGTGGTACGCGCGCCAGTTTCAAGGTGCCGCCATCTCTGAGGGTTCTTCCGGGTTCGATTCCCGGTCGGGTCAATGTAGAAAATGCACTTTTCTCTATTGTCTCCGGTCTGGGTGTTGTGGTACCTTCGTTGTCTCAGATACTCCACAATACGGGTGCTTCAGCTACTCATCTTGGAATCTGAGCACATATGTACATGATGGTGTTTAATATTTATTATTGTTATTATTGAGAAAGTAATACCAACTGTATAAAATACTGACTATGTAAGCTCTCTTTTTCACATTTAAGCGTAAGTTAAGCGTAAGTTAAGTAAGCGTAAGTTGCTTTAGTATTTCCTAAATGCTAGTAACGAGCTTCCGAACGTTCCCCTGATACAACGCTTATGGTACACGATACGTTGCATTATTCAACACACGTACGTGAGGATCCTGGAGACGGACTCAACCGCGCGTGAAAATAAGCAATATTTACTAACGGTCGGACGTAAGGAGACTTTTCAATGTTATAGTTTCAGGTTGCAGAGTAATCCCTGCCCTGTCCTTATCGGTTATTTAGTTGTCTCTGTCACTTCTTCATGTTTGGTTACTACTTCTCTTGTTGTAAATATTCAAGTTTATTGTTCTAATTATACACGAACAAAATATTAGAATTATAACCAATTTAATTAATATTACAAAAGTGAGTGAGATATAAGGTAAGATATTTCATTAAAAAACCATAAAAATCACTACCAAAGAGGTTTGTTGATATAATCGATATGGAACTTTTTAGTAACTTTTTGCAGATACTATGATTTTGAAATGTATGTTATTTTAAAATGTACTTAACAACTTCTAAAACGACTGTTTTGTTTGGTTACTATATTTAAAGATATATGTAAATCAGATAATTCTAAAAAAGTTGGTATCGTTGATTTCATTTAAGCTGTTACGCAAGCGGTTCCAAACACTTGTACTGAGAAATGCCGGCAAAAACTCGGCGTGGCATTTATTTCACTGTTTTGTTTCATACAGAGATGTTATACTGAAAAATCACTTCAAGACAATGGCGATTTATTTTGTGTCTAACGTCATACCCGTACAATTATTGCGTTTTATAACAGCGCAAACTTTATTGTGGTAGCATTACGTTATAATACAACCAAAAAGGCGCGAAGAAATAAAGAATAGTCATCTCTCTATCAGAATTTTCAGCATACCTCTTGTTAGAATGAGATAAACATACTTGCATATCTTTACGTATTAACTGCTGTATCCTCATAGAACACGATGTACGAAAAAATGGCCGCTTCCAATGATAATTTATTATTTTAATTAAAAAAGTACAGTAAAAAAAAAAATACTTACGCATGAAATGATATCTTCTTGCTTTTCTTATTATCAGGCATTTTTTCTATAACTTTTTACAGAAAATAACGAGTGAAAATGACATTAGCCACAACGCTTGCTAAAACGTGACTAAAGAGAAACTTTTTCGAGGCAATTGCCTTGCTTTTTGTAGTCAATATTGAGCGCAGATAACCCATCTAAACTTTTTAATACATCATTGCTTCAAAATTCTCAAATTATCTTCCATTATTTTTAAAGTTTTAACATAATTGTAAATAAACAGAGGTGCTATTAATTTATGGCCAAGTCACGATTATTAAAAAAACTAGCTCTGTAAAGTTTTTCGCAAATAGCATTACTTTTTTTTACCACATAGCACGAATGCAGCGCTTTTGTTTTAAAGAATAAAAATATTGTTTGAAGGTGGTGGCGGAATTTGACGATGTGGAGCCAGACGCGCTTTATGATGTACTGCACGATCCCGAGTACCGGTCCGTGTGGGACACCCACATGCTGGCCGCCGAGGACGCCGGCCACATCAACGTCAACAATGACGTTGGCTACTACGCAAGTAAGTACATTTCACTCACTCTTTGTCCCATATATGGGACACATATGCTACTTAGACGCTAGCATGTGTTTCCTAGAGTCAACAACGACTATTACGCAAGCCAGAAGTCAGTTCCTTTCACTCACTCCAGCAATGTCCCATTTATGGGATACATGCTAGTGTCTAACTACTTCAACAACGACTACTTCACAAGTCGAAAATCATACATTGTTTGCATACAATTTTAAAACGATATAACATGGTATACTTTTTAGTCCTAATTATATTTCTAAATTTTCATCTGTAAAAAGTAAGAAATTGTAAATAGTGATCTATTTACCCACAACAGCATATGCATATTTTCTTTAAGCATAATTTATTTAATCATCTTGCTTTAGCTAGCACGATCCCATATGTGGAATATAATATAAATGAGCCACATCAGCGTCAATAATAACTACGCCATTTTCACCATCGATGCTTAAAGTATAACCTACATAGGTGTTCCCTAAACTAATTAATTATAAACTTGGCCCCTACTTAAGCTCGTTTACAGCATGTTCCTACATAGGTAGGTACTACTTTGTTATGTGACATTTTTTTTTTGCACTTGAGCTATTCCAATATCGTACTGAAGTAAACTTTAATACTATCGCAGATAAAACTTATAATTAACACAGTTTTTATATATATCTCTATTTAAATATAAAATTAAAATTATTTAAAATTAGGTAGTAGGTAATTCATAATGTCCTCATATTTTACTAAAATGGTGTGTTTCACAGAACAATTATGATAAGAGCTTCATTTCAAAACAAAAGCAGTTACATGAGGCAATTTACTGGTATACAAACGCAATTTATTTTCAATATGTATTCGCTTCGTTTTATTCATTGAAATAAAGCGTGTTCTTATTATTCTCATAGTACAGAGGTTCCAACAAACTAAACATAATTTTTCTATGAATCTGGAATTTTATTGTCTGTACTCTTCTATGGCATTATTTTATTATTTGAGTTGTCTTCATTATCTTCAGGCTGGTAATATCCCCACTGCTAGAAAACAGGCCTTTCCATTTAATGGAATTAAATAGAGAGAACGGGTTATAAAGCTCCACGCGGGCCAGTAAGGATTGGTGGGTGTTAACGATTGTAGATAAAGCCTGTTAGGCTCAATGTGCATTCCGCAGCACGAGAAGATTGACATGATAAAGTTTGGTCACCCTTCGGTTGACCATTACGAAAGTTGCTTAAATTCCGCATCGCAGACTGAGCGTAATAACTACTATGCCAAGTTAAAGTACAAAACACGAAATCGATTTCAAGTGTACACATACACAGCCAAAACTATAATATATCTAAGTTATTTGGACGTAACAAAATAACATATATATAAATCACCAATCCCCGACACCCCGAGAAAGTATTCTTTAAGATAAATATGAATAAAACATTGTGAAAGCAAAATTTGATAAAATATATAATTGTATTTGCTTTGTTCTATACTGACTAACTAAATGTATCTATGCTATTTCCTACAGACATTGATGATTGTTTTTATTGTTATTGTAATACGTATTATTTTTGTAATGATATGATTGATGTAAATGTTGCTACTTCTGATAAGGAATGAGCCAAAAGACTCAAAAGTTTCAAAAGTGATTATAATAAGCTTATTTGAATATTTCTGTTTTTAAATAGTAGTTGTTTTAAAATGATGTTAACCTGAGATACAATATACTAAGTTATGAAAAAACAAAACCAATCTGTTTAGGCTGCTAACGTTATTTTATAACTAATTTGTGCATGAACGACGAATAATTAGGAAATCGGTTATTCCTTATTTTTAAATTAGGTCGTCACAAAAAAAAAGATGAAGGAAGCAACGCATTTATATTTTGAAAACTTAAACAAATCTTTAAAACGAGTTTTTATTACGATCTAGGGGAAAACATGAAAGTTCTATAAACACTTTTAAAAAAAATGCAACAAGAATGACGCTAATGCAAAACGGTCTCTAGGGATGCGAGCCGCAGTGAATAGGCTTCTGAGGAAATATGCCGCTTTACAACGAAATGAGAGTGTCGCTCAAATCGGGAAATCTAGTTCACGGAGAGTGTGACATTGAACTGAGTCTACCAGTTTTATGACACCTACAATAGAACGAGAGCTCGTCACAAAAATGTACAAGAGCTTTCTAAAGCTTGATATTTCAGCTTGTTTAAATAAGCGTATACATCACTCGGTACACAGTGCGGAGGTCAGGCACTTAAACACCTGGTGACAAATTTTACTGATTGCTGAATATGTTTGTCCCATGAAATTTATGTACTTACTACTAATAATTTAGTAATAAATTATCCTTTAACTATTTTGAAACTCATTTTTGGAGCTAATTTTCACACCAATTTTTTAAGATCTGCTGAGTCGCCGCGTTTCACGATTGTGCAATCTGTTTAGTCTACTTTTTTAAATTAAGTTTTTCGTTAATTTTAATTTTTTGAAATGCGATTTACACATAGTGTCTTAGAACCTCGCACTTCTTCAACAATGAATATCATACTTCAGCTATTTTACATAAAATTTTAATAAATTACACATTGAATGTTTCTAAATAAATGTTCAATTCATTCACACGTTCAAATATAGACCTCTGTTTATTCGTCTGTCGACTTTCATAAAAATAGAGACTTTGTTTTAAGTCTGCAACAGACATGTAATTTTTTAAAAAGACTTTCCCCCACACGTTTTAACACATATTGTTTGGATGTCATGTCAGATGTGTGTTCAAAGATTTGATCACTACTTTGAACTCACTGTTTTCAATTGGATGCTGATCGCTTTGATGTGCGCTGAAATACCGACACATAACCACAACGAAACATCAAAGTGTTTGTTGTTTGTGACAATAGTGTCAAATTCAAGTACAACAAATATAAACATTTATTTGATCACACAATTGTTCACAGATGTCGGGGTTATAATATGTAATAGTGATACATATCGCCCTATGCGAATCGGTTTCAAGTATGTATGGGTAAGATTATAATAGCAAAAAATTGAGTTTTTAATCAGTAATTTCAGCTTTAAAAAGTGTTGTAGCTAAATATAAAATTTATATAGTTTCACAAATTTGAAACTCGAATGAGTCTTTCATTCGAACCTGCGTTGCGGCATTGCGGCCCATATGTTTTAAACTGTCTGTTTATATTTATCGAAACCTGCTTTTTTACTTGTGAGAGTAACGACTAATAAATGTGAAATACGTAACAGATAACTGTTTTCCTATTTTATTTATTACCACTTTTGAAAGCTTATGTGTCATTTAGTATTTATTTATGAATGTTCATTATTTCCTAACTACATAAGTATATAGCCTTTTCTGTAAATATGTCAATGTCAATAAAATTCCTTTTAGTGCTTACATCGACACTTTGTATTCAAATCTCGAAAACGAGATAGAGTTCAATCCATATGGAATTATTCATATAAAGGGTGATCTTTTGTTGAATCTAGGTTGCTCCCTCGCACGTTTATTGAACTGGCTTCAACTTAAAAGCAGGAAGTGAGATACTAAGTTGTCTGTGGCGACTCAGTGTCAGATAAAATGATGCAGCTTGAAAGCTTACTACATTGTTGCAAGTTCTTAAGCTGACGCTTGCTGCCAATAATTTACTATTAGGTATATCTTTAAAAGTCCGAGTTTGCTTTGTACCTGTCGTCTAAAGAATATGGGGGAATATAAGAATCGTAGTATATTTGAATCGTCAAATCTAATACTTCTATTTTATATAATATACACAAACAATTTACAGTACTTATCTAGTATATACAAAATGACAGTTATTTCTTGAATACTTACTAATAATTGGATTAATATATTTTGTCATGAAGCTTAACAAAAAAGCTATAGACTATACATTCTCATAATTGTATTACTATCCCGGTCCAGTGTGAGGGTGTAGATAAAAGCATTACGGGCATTATAAGTCAGCTTAATGCATTAGATAAACGTGTGTTTGGAAATTAACGACATGTTGCGGCTGTTTCCTTAATTACTTATGTAAAAAATTAAATAGCTGCGCTTACTTACTATATTTTGAAGTGCCCTACATTTTTTTATTTTGTTTTAATGTATAAGTAGTTAGTGTCTGTATCTTATATGCAAGTTATTCAACTCGAATATGCAGAGCGATTCCGTAAAAATCCGAACCCGTATTCACTTCGAAAGCAAATTCAAGTAAACGAAGTGTAATTCTACTGATAAAAAAACAAGATTTATTGATTCATACTTGTTTCAGATATTCTATCCCTAAGTTATATCAAAACTTACTTCACTTATGCCAGGAAACGTTAATACCAATTTACACTTGAGTGTATTCGAATTCGGGTTTACACTTTTACGGTATCGCTCTGCAGCTATTAAAATTATCATTGAAAATGATAGAAAGATCTGATAGATTCATTTATATCACAATACATGCACTAAGACAACATTTATAGAAATAGTTTAAAAATACATTTTTATTGCGCTGACTAAACTACACAGTGGGTAATAATTTAGATAAAATGTGAAGTTGTAGATAATATGAGTGTTGATGAGTCTAATGATATTCCGAACGTAATTATATCAGAAGGGTAACGCCCTCAGTGACGCCAATTTGCCGGAGGTGAGTTATTATTACATTTACCCGATCCATTACTGCGGTGAAATGTTGGTTGACTTTATAAGTTTATAACACAAATTTTAACTCTAAGATAGCCTTCATATGTAAATATCTCTTTATGTTTCACAATATTTGCAAAAAAACATTGTTATTTTGTTATGCAAGTTAATTAATAGCACTGTCTCCGCCAATGGTTTTTCATGCCGCGATACTTGTTAAAGTTTTCAGAAGCTTTGATGAAAAAGGAGAAAATTAAATTAAATTAAATATTAATAATTAAATAAATAGTGACAACTTGGCCTTATTTTGAATCTTTAGTAAAATGTTACAAAGTACCGCTGAAATTCACAAATTCCTCTATTTACACTAAGAATAATCTTTTAAAACATTGATTCTTAATTTAACAAATGTACACACGTCTGCACGTCAGGCTACTATAACATGTCAAATTTGTAAAAATCAAGTGCAGATATTTGATAATTTATATTGCGTGACGTACTGTCGACTATACCATTATCAAGCAAATTAATATATTATCAAGCAAATTGGATATTTCATTGGTATTAAATTGTTCATTTGTTGCTGTGCTTTTGTAAATTGTTCAGTCATTGCTGTGCTTTTAGGCTACTGCGAGGTAGATCGGTGATCGGTGATCCACATTATTCGATATCAATCGCATCTTACTGAACGTATTTAGTATTTAAAATTATATGTTAATTAAGTAGTGACCAGCTATTTTCTCGCGATTTCGCCCGCGCAAATTATATTCTATGTCACTCGCATGTGATATAGCTTGAAGATAAAAGAATTTTCATGATAAGATCAGTACTTCCGAAGATTACCTCCAAACAAACAAAGACGGAAACTTTACATCGTCATAATATTAGAATTAATATTGTTTTCCAATTCAAAAGCCAATGTCGTTGAGACAACAGACAGCGCAGATGTTTTAAACACTGGAATGTTAATTAGCAGAGGTCGATTGTTTACACTGAACAAACGGGATAGTATTGAGTTTGTTTGCTGTTAACGAGAGTGTTGTTTGGTAGTCGATTGTTATTGGATTGCCTACCGACGAAGCAATCGTAACATCGATTGGACATCTGTGATATTAGAAATAAGAAGTAACCTGTAAAAGAACAATATATATATGTAAGTTAAAAATAAAAAAATGTAAAAATATAAATGTAAAGTAATCAGATATAATTTTGAATAGAATAAAGAAAAATGTAAAATAATATAAGAAAAATATGTAATAATTAGATAAGAAAAATGTAGTAAACAATAAGATAAGCCAAAAGAGGGAAAAAAGAGCGATCCCCATAACAACAGATAAATCATATCTGTCTAAAGAAAATAAAAAACAAGCATAAAAAAACAAAAAAAGACAAAAAAGACAACCTGCTCAAAAGTGGGGGAAGCTGCAATAAAAAAAAAATAACATTGATTGGACCATTGCGGTTGGAGTGAATAAGTTCGCGCCTTAAAATAAACGAGAAATATCTTTACAAATTGAGTCTTGAAACAATTTTTTTACCTTAAATTACCTATGAACTTTTATACTTGTTGTTTACTAGAATTAAGTTTAAAATAAAAACACTACAGCGACCCAAAATTCCCTATACATAGTATAATTTTCTTAAGTACACGGACTCCAAACGATAAATTCTTAAACTTGTAAAATGCATTAACGAAACCTTATTTTAAGAAAGCCAAAGAAAAAAGCAAATGCGTATTTGCTTTATTTTAACGAAATTTTTATTGTAGAGGCGAGGAAAACGATTTATACGATAATTTTTTTTTTATCGATCTACTTATTAATTTTTTTTTTTTTATTACCCCAGTGTCCTGCCCAGCACCCCTCAAGAATCGCGACTTCGTGTTGCAGCGTTCCTGGCTGGACACCGGCGATGAGAAGATGATCCTCAACCATTCCGTATACCACAAGGATTATCCCCCTAGAAAAGGATTTGTCAGGTAACCAGTTCAAATATATGGTACATAACTATACTTTCGTATTTCTGTTGTCGTTAGAAATTTCTTTATTATAATTTGAATTAATATATAGGCTATAAGATTCGAAATTTTCCGAACTTTCGTTAGTGAACAAACAGGGTCTCTAGGGATAAACGTGCTGTTAAGTCATCATGTAACAGGCGGAAAGGTAGTTGATTAATAAAATGATTCCCATATAAGGTAAAGCCTAATGGTATGCATTACAGAACTCTCTCACATTATAGAAAGAAAGAAAAGAAATTTATTGACTTCTTTGAAAATAATAATATAAAAGAAAAATATTTCACTAATGATTAGAACTTTGTGGAACTATTTAGACATCTAGTTAGACGACGGGTGGCATATAACATGGTAGGGTCGATGAATTCGCTGTAGGTAATGTACTACTTAATATATGAGAGGCTACATGGAGACCCGAGTGTCCCGCAGGGTTATATTACGTGTACATTAAAATTAACACAACACCAGCGGCTGGCCGCCGACGCCCCTTTCTGTGTGACGTAATTAGAGTTAATTATCCCACCGGTTCGATATATTTTGTATCTTATCTTATAGTTAAATATTATATATAAAAAAATATGCTTGTCTTTATCTTATTGAAAACTACTAATATTATAAGTGGGAGCTCTATTCTCTAAACATTCGTCTCGTGTCGAGCGCTCGTTTTCTACTGATTTTCATTTACAAAGTCGCCATTTCTAATTCACTCGGCCTTAATGAGTGTTATGGACCACTCGTTGAATATACGTCAAAACATGAAATGTATCAATTACGTTTATTGCAGTTTTATTTAAATTCAGACTTTTTTGTTTATATAATATTTATGTCAAAAACTATTTTCCATACAATACAATACGAAGAAGGATTCGAAAATACTAAAAAAATGGCGACTTAGAAGTCGAGCGTGACTTAGGTCGTATACGGAAAGGAGATTTTATAAGACGGCATTAAAAATAGAGCTCCCAGCAGATTTGATTATTTATTTGTTTGCATCGATTAGACTCCGAAACTTTTGGATCTATTTTGAAAATTTTTCACCTATGGGAAGCTAAATCATATGCGGTTAACATAGGTTATAATTGTAAGTCGAAGTCGCGGGAAACCACTTGTCGTATATATTATTATTAGCATTAGCATACATGAAAAAATGCTTAACAGTTGTAATAACCATCGTGTCTTGTTTACAGACTGTATTGTAGATAAATATACCGTGCAATTCGGACCACACAAGTCATTATTGAAGAACGTTGACTGTATTGAAAGCAAATTAGATCCAGTTGATAAGGATACACAAAGAGAGCTAGCAACAACTGTTTCCAATGTCTCAGAATCTCTATAAGTCGGTTGCCGAGTGCCTTAGAAATAAGCTATTGTATTCTACTACGCCGGTATATCAATATTCTTCGATTCACTTATAGATGTTTGTGTCCTACAACTGAAAATACATGTTTCTCTTATATATTCGAAAAATATGAACCATTTTGACTTATAAATGTTTAACAAAATGAATATCATGACACTTAAAGAGTGAGCCCATTGTAAATAAATAAAAAAAAACTTATTTGGAAAATATTACGCTTTAACAACATGAAAAAGGTAGGGAAAATATTTTAGCTACTGATCTTGGAATTTAAGTGATGTCTGAGCACCACAACGCGCGGTCTTTATATGCGTCTGTTGAATGACACCACAAAAATAAAAAAAAAATTATGTATTCTACACATTTTGATCACCGTTTTTTGGGGTTTTCGATATGACGCACTGAATACGTAATCAGTCTGATCTTTTTTAGGCGTACCTCAATTGTATTCTATACCTACCCTTCCACTTTCACATGATATATAGATATATATTTTACGTGTATTTTACGATGAAGAGAATTCGGAATTTAGAAAAATTAATATTTTGACTGTTGCCTATAATAATAATAATGTGCATAAGAAAATATTAAGATTCGCTTACAAAAAAAATGGTATCCATATTTTGAATACTAAAAATAAAAATAAGCGAAAGCCGAAGCTTGGATGCTTCAGACTTCAAGATGATCATTTCTGGGTCCAAAAAATTAACAAAATGAAAGTAATTTCAATGTCTGTAAATAAATTTAACAATCCCGTAAAGAACGGGCCTATGAGTAAATATAAAGTTGATAATTTATTTTAAGGACGGTAATGCGTGGAATTAAGCCTTCGCTTTGTTCTACCAGTGACAAGTAATTATATGTATAAATAATAATAGTGTCACTGATATTAATAACTGTTTAGACCATTTTTGTAATACATATAATTTTGGTAATGACACGATCGATCTAAATTTTGTTACTTCGGATAAAGAGCTGATAAGTTTCTTTAGCTCATTATTCATTTCAAGCAAAATGTAACGACCGAGTGAAAAAACAAATTTTTGAATGATTCAAAACTGTTAGCAATAAGCTTACTTGAATAGAGGATATTTTAGTTTCGCTCGATTTCTATCATACGTATTTATTTATTTACAACAACTGCGCAGAATTAATTGAATTCAATAGAATTCAATAGAATACCACACGACTGTCGCCAGCGAAGCGAAACGTTGAACAATGCTTTTTTTTATTGATTATGTAGCAGAAGCCGGGACGAAGCCTCTTTACTGTTTTTAAAGAGAACGATTTCTCCCCTTACTTTGTTTACAGCTTCTGGAAGAGATAGAATTTCTTCAAATAAAGTTTCCAAGTAACGCTCATTTTCTATTTTTTGATCGTTATAAGTTCTACATTTGCAATAATTAAAATAAAAAGAATCGAGACATTTAATGAAAGTCGATTTGATTCACATTATATATTTTTATAATTATTTATACACTAGCTTTTTCCCGCAACTTCGTTTGCGTGGTATTAGTATTTACAGTCGTTTAATTTAATAATTAAATTAATTCCTCTTCCTTCCGGACCTCGAGTACGAGTAGACGCTTGTAAACCCACGTTTGTTTAGTTTTTAATTTAAAAAAATTGAATTTTAAAATAATAAAATCAGTGCCATAAATTAGGAACGCATAAGTCCGCAAGAGTGTTCAATCTACAGTGACACATATTTGCATCAACGACTACGACATTGTTTATGTGAGACTACCGCGTGCAGGTGCGTAACATTAAAAACTCCATCTGTCTCACTCAACCGCACGCAAAACACTCGCCGCTGCAACACGCCGCCGCCGCCCGCGCCGCCCGCCTGCGCCCCGCTGCCGTTTGGCCAAACTACCACAAACTTATGCGATCCTGGTACGCTCACCAAACTACCTATTTTAACTAATATCGGACCCGACCGGGCGTTGTTAAATTGTGGTTAGTTTGATGAAGAAACACCTTAACGTTTAACTGTGGCTCATATAACCCTAGTACTTGTAATAGTGAACCATGACTAATTCTGGTACACAAGCGAATTACAAAGATATTACAAAGCGTATGATTTGAATTTTCGCGCCACTGAGTAATTGTCACACCATAATTCTGTCACACTATGTTTATGTGATCCTGGTACAGTTATCTCACCGACAGGAACAAATACTTACTACTTGCCCCATAGAAAACAAGGAATACTGGTTGGTTTAACCTAATGTATGGATGGTTTGAAGTTCGCGCCATTATTCGATTGCAGCGACAATCTTACGAGATCCTGGTACAATCACACACTGAAGATTTATTTGTTGGTCTCTGTACCTCTGACATTAGCTAAGTTTAAGCTATCTATTTCGTCCCATGTTCTCCTGGTATCTTAAGACAGATAAATAATCTATAGCAGTCTTAAGTTGATTGAGACACATATATTTGGCGCCGCTCCGGTACGGCCAAATTATATTACTACAACTTTTATGAAGTCCCGGTAACTGCAATCTACAACAACAAGCTAATACGCAATACAGCGCGTGGCGCGGTAAACTGCTTCTACTAACTTCTATTATCTTGTTATTTAAGCACATATTACTGCAATTAATTTACTTCACCTGTTAAACAAAATCTAGCAATCTTGCGACCGAAATACCTCCTACTTCAGTGTGGGCTCCTAGTAGTACAAACAAATATGAATAAATCCTTGTCCGAGTCAAACTTGAACGACCAGATTACGGCAGGCGAACAAAATATCACCCCCCCGAACTTTGTTTTTACACGTGCTGCTAAAAAGAGGAAAGAACAGGACAGTCCTACTAATCTGATGGAGCTTCCATACAGCGCTACAGAAAATGATTTCCACGCGTTTGTTAATGAAATGAGAGGTATGTTTAACAACTTACTTGCTGCCCAGCGACAGGAATTTGACAACATAAATCCTACATTAAAGAGTATTCAAGAAACCAACGCAAAAATCGAGGCATCTATTGAATACCTACACATAGAGAACACAGAACTAAAAAAGAAAATTAAGAACTTAGAACAGCAGAAAAAAGAAGATGCGAAATACATTGTCTCACTTGAAGAGAAGTTAGAAAATGTACAGAAAGGATACAGGAAGGCTAATTTTGAAATTAAAAATGTTCCAAAAGTAGAAAAAGAGACAAAAGAAGACTTGATAAAATTGACTACTTGTCTATCCAATACCGTTGGTGTAAACATAACTAAATCTGACATTAAAGATATATACAGAGTTCGCGGAAGAAAAGAGAATATCTCAAATGCACCTATTGTTGTAGAAATGGCTTCAACTCTACTCAAGATGGATATTTTAAAGAACTGTAAGGCCTATAACAAAAGGAACACGACAAAGCTTTGTGCGAAACATCTAGGATGTGCTGTAAATAAAGAGACCCCCATCTACGTCTCCGAACAGCTTACACCCAAGGCCTCACGGTTATATTTCCTTGCGCGAGATTTAGTTAAATCAACATCTTTTACCTTTTGTTGGACTGCCTACGGAAATGTATATGTCAGAAAGGATGAAAATTCTTCAATAATAGCAATCATTAATGAAACTCAAATCCAAAAGCTTTAT